GCACTTGGGTTTCTGCCATGTGCATTTGCTGACAGCAAAGAGTCCTCACAATTGATTGCATGCCACCACTTGCTTAGAAGATGGTGGTAGGTCATGGGAACAAACCAGGCACATTTGTGATGATGCTACATTTGACTCCCTCAAGCTATTGGTAATTACAGACTCGTGGTGGGATTTTCAGATTCTTCCTTTTCTGAAAATCAATCCAGCCTACTTTCATAGATGCAGATGTACCAGACTCCCAGGCTGGAGCAGTCTGTCCACAAAAGTCCCTGTTTTAGATAAACCAGTTGCACAAGCATAAAGTAGCATGAAAACCTTTAAGATTACAACAAGAAATAGAACTCTTATAGTTAAAACATTGTGCTGCAAGTGTGAAACAGTGTAAATAGCTAGCCTTTTCTCTCCTTTTTTTTTTTTTTAGCATCACTGACTCAATTTTTTCCTTTTCTTTGTGGATGAAACAGTGGTAGAAGGATGCTTCTGGGAAAGACACATTCATGCTTCCAAAAGGGACAGTTGAAATTAAGTAGGGAGAAGCTGCAGAAGCAGAGAAGGTAGTTTTTGAAGAAAAGTGCTGGGTAGAGTTCAGGGAGAAGAATCATCATTTTAAATACAGACTGGCAAAAAGAAAGTGATGTGATGGTCTGAAATTGCACAGGGCTAGGAAAAACTACTCTTTCCTATTACTATCTTTTAAACTCCGTCACTCATTGCCATTCTGCCACCTTTGCCACTAAACATTACTAACAGCAGAGTATTTGTTTTATGAGTTAACTAGATCAATGCAATGAAGAAAACAACCATTTGCCTTGTTATTCCTGAGACTTATCTGGAAGATAAGAATTGAAAGTAAGTGGGGTAAGTTATTTAGGAACAGATAGGGTGCTGAAGGCAAGGCAGAACTTGTCACAGTACAGGATCCTCTCAGACCACGCACGTCAAACCAGAAGTTTCCTTTTCTTTCTAACTGTTCATCTAAACATACCATAGACTGATTCAGATCAGAAAACCTGAGCAGCTGGGGAAAGGGAAAGGAGGTGGAAAACAACTCACACCTCAGGAAACAGAGGCCTTCCCTGTTGTCCATGTTTACTGCATATCCTCATGCAGACACAATGTGGGGACAGGAACTGGATCAAGCAATGGCTGCTACTTCAGCTGCCACCACCACCTGAGAAGTGCACCTGGAAGTCACAGCCTCAGAGTTAAAACTGTTTTCTGGCACAGAACAGATGAAAATTCCAGGGTGTAATTTCAAAATGCCTTTAACCATTGCTACTGTGAAAAGTGTCTATCCTCCATCTCTTCCACCTGACTGTTCATTCATATCCCCAGGTCACCTTCCTTTTCTTGCTTGCATAAATAGAGGTGTGGAAAGGAGAACAAATAGCAACTTTTTTTTTTTCTCCCCCATACCAGATTAGTTTCAACTTGAATCAGCTCCCTGATCTGATTCACTGTCTGGCCATGCAAATGTTCATGGCAGTATAAGCAAAAACACTGCAGAGACAGAACAAAAGGCCAGATGTAGCAATAGAGCAGGAACAATACTTTCAAAGATTATATCAACTTAAAGGTGTTTGCAAATCCAAGCCCTAAGAACATAAATGTTTACATCTCAGACACTTAATGCTTGATGTGGAAAACCCTACAGAAGAATTGGAAAAAGATTGAAAGTGATGACTTCACCGGGAGATACATGAAATAAAGTGGAGTAATATGTTATGTATTATTTTTAGTAATAATTTTTAGGCCTTGAGTTCCTAACCATGTTGTTTAGCAAAATTAATAAATGTTAGCAAATTAGCTGAAGTAGATGAACACATGAGAACAGGTATGCAATAATGACTACAGGAGTCAACAGCATAAGTCATAAAATCTTTGGGCTCTCTCAAACCACAGTAATCAGGATCTTGCACAAAACAAACTCCTCAGGCCCTGCCCACCAAATAATATCCTTTCAGTCATCCTCTAACAAAGGGTGCTACTGAAGCACAGGGTAAGCATTTAAGTTCTTACAGTATTAGCTATCCAGATCATATGCATGTTCTGCCTTGCCAGATGGCCTGTAATCTGGTCTCCCTTGAAGCTGAAAGCATCACATTAAAACTCCTAATTGGGGTAATATATTCATAAAGTAATGACCTCAGTCAGTGCTTCTCAAAGTGGGTTACATCATCCAAAGGGATCATGAGAAAGCTCTAAGGCTATTGAAAAACCCAAACTGAATTTGGGGGCGAAAAAAAATTTAAATATAGAAAATATAGAAAATGTGAGATTATAATAAAACTAAATTATCCTTAAACATATTGACACCAAAATAATCTGAGGGATTGTTCTACATTTGCAGACTGCTCACAGACAACTCTTAACCCTCTGCAGAAGAGAAGAGTAGGCTTTTCTCAGGTTTATGTGAGAGAAGGGAAGGAAAAAGATCAAGACAAATAATTGCACAGATGAGGAAAATATTTTGAAAAAAATTAATATGTATATTGATTTACATAATTTTTGAAAAAAAAATTATTTTATAAAAATTCAGTAGAAGTTTCAGAATTTTGCAAGGTGCAATTGCTTTCTCTAAATTATTGGGGAGTTTTGTCAATATCCACTGCAGCAAGTACCTATCTGATCATTAATGGAAACTCCACCCTTAACATTTTCAACCTCAAATTTTTACAGAAACAGAGGGAACAACCATGAGTAGCAACCTACTCCTCCATAGCTCTGTGGGCTGGCTTGAGAAATATAATAAATTTGCAGTCATCATAGTAAAACTGGTCCAAGTCCTGTGGACAACCTGAAACTTCACAGTGGGATCGAATGTAGCTTTGTAGAGAGGTGCACAGTAGGAACGATGCTAGAAAAACAAATGAGAAAAAGGACAGATATGAGAGAAGTTGTTCAGAATAATTAATTATGGGATGCAAAAGTAGAGACTCTGAGGGCCTTCCCTCAAATATTTTGCTGAAATAAATTCAGCCAGACAGCAGTGAACATGAAGCATTGTTAGTCACCCCTCCCTACCTAACACATGGGAGCAGATGTCTTCCCAAGGTGCTATCCCTCAAGCTGCTATTTATGAGTCCTGAAATTCTACTTTATCCAACCTGTTTTCAGGCATCTATCTATTTGTTCTTCCTCCTAGCAGTAGGTACAGTTTTTCTCCCTCATTTGGCTTCTTTGTCCAGTAGCAGAGAGAATTAACAAAACAACTTTCAAAAGAGTAAAAGTCTTCCTTGTTCTAACACAGCCACTGTCCTGACAGGGAATTTTAACAGTTCAAATCCAAAAAAGCATACTCAGCACATCTGACTTGTTACAAAACCAATAAAGCACTAAGCAGACACAAAACCTGTTTTCTAGAAAGGCTTTTCTCCACTCATTTCAAGTGACCTCCATACCAGAGATTTCAATAGCATCAAAACATTGCATGCGCCCTAGTCAGATGAAGTAGAAGTTATAATCTCCATATCTGGTGCATCAAACAAATCACCTACTTGTAAGATTCTTAGGCAGCTTACCACCCAGCAACTGGAGAGTACTCTCACCAAAACACTGTGCAAAATACAGTGTACATAACTAAAATACACCACTTAAAAAATAAGTTTCACTGAAGTTGCTACAGAGGAATACATACATTAATATAAGAGGAATCAAGAGCACTACTGAACAAACAAGGGATGGAAACTCTCTTTAAGTATATCAAAATTTCAAACCATGAATAGCTCCTAATACTCAGGAATTCACTTTCAATGCACAGGTATAACATTTAAGAGTAAAGAGAGCAGTCAAATTCTTTCTTAATAAAACAGGCAACAAAGCTACAAGAGGTTTTTAGAACAGATTAAAAATTTTGAACATGCATGAAATAAAAAGAGCACAATGAGAGTACAGTGATCTGAAAGCACTCTCAAAACACCCAGAAATGCAACTTGGCTCTCAAAATTTTACTGGTGTATGCCCGATAATTTTGGCCAAAGCAGAAGTCAGAGACAAGTTTATGCTGATAATCATATTTAGATTCAGAAGAAAACCCTTTACTTTCTTCACCTTTTGAATTCAATCAAGGATGCTTGTATGTTTAAAAGTTCATGAGTGTCTAACACTCTATGTAAGATCAGAGGACTCTCATTGCAAAGCAAGGCTTTGTAATTACAAGCACAAATGAGGTTATTGGGTGGGATACCCTTCAATATTAGGTGTCTATCTGCAGGTGCTTAACAAGTACAGCTGATATCTAATGTCCCATTCTAGTTATCAGAGTTCTAGTCCAACCTAACCAAAGGAGGTTAAATCATCTCATCTGCAAAGCAGACAGCCAACCAGTCAGCTACATCACATTTTACATTACACCAACTGTACTGACTAGAGGTCTTGTGACTGCAAAAGTGGCTTAGACAAGGCAGGGTGGATTCACTTGCCCCTGCATTTGAGATGCCACTTTGAGATACCAGATTCAGAATGCCACTGGTCTCTTACTGTCCATGCCACATCTACTGACCCTGTGCAGTTGCCTCTGCTAACTTCAAGCATCTGAAATGGCTATAGATACCTGCTAATTTTTAGGTAAGTATAGGTACTGCTAGCACAGATGCACGTACGTTCAGGAGTTGAGCTCAAATAGAACCTTTGCTATTGTGCTGTTAAAGACTATTTCTGGGAAAATAGAAAAACATATCAATATGGAGTAGTAAATGTATAAAGAGAAAATAGAAATGCTTTCAGGAATATATTCATTTAGCAGGCCGAAACAGCATTGTATTTCATATTTTGCTAGTTTTACATGGTTTAGACATATTCACTATGCAATTAGAAATAGATGTAGAAACAGACGTCGCCATTTTGTACCAGCAGATTTTCTTGTAAGCATTCAAAAACCAATAATGTTATACCAAAGGGCAAATTTTCCCTAGCATTTTGAGTCTAATCAAGAATTCTGAGTCTAATCAAGATGAGCTGTCTTTTAAAACCAGCGTGGCAAACCAGAAAGTACTTACGGTTTATGTGGTCAATGTAGTAGACACCAATCTGAGGGTCACACGCGGCTTCCCATCCCCATGGCAATTCATCCCCAACACAATCCGCAAATGACAAGGGCTTTGTCAACCTACAACAAGGAAACAATTCCGTGATATAGCTTTTCTCCCTTCCATGTATCTCTTACTCATATTAATTCCTATTATGACAGAAGCTGAAGAAACATAGCAGAGAGAAAGGAGAGCAAGTTGGTTTTTTTCCTCTTAAAGCAGAACATATTATTGCAAACATTTTTCAGTACAGGAACTCAAGTGAGAAATCCACTGCAACACCCTTCACATTTGACAGTCTAAAATTAAACAACAAACAGCTTTAAAAAGAATAAATTATCTATATTCCTATTTGTCCCCAGGAAAACTGGACCCTTCAACTTCAAGTAAGTGAAGAGAGCACAAGATTTCAACATCACTGTTTCTAATGACCACAGAAAGCCACCTAGGATGCAGTTAGCAGCACTTATCAACCCCTGGACTTGAATAAAACAAGCAGCAGTGTGCACAGAGTAGACATTTTACAAGTAACATTTAATGGGCCTTAGATGTTCACATGTTGCTTTTGCAGGAAGACAGACTACTAAAGCTTTTCATTTTAATAATAGAGCACCTATTTGTTATAAGAACTAGAGTGATAAATATAATACATGGGCTCTTTTCCAACTGAGGCTGAGCAAAGCTTTACGTGATCATCTTTTGGTCCTTTTTTTAAAAAAAAAATTAGTATTGAGTTTCCTATTGATAAATCCACAATAAATGCCACCTCTAACACAGTGATATATTTAATAGAAAGAACAGGAAATTTAAGGTTTTATTGTTGCCATAGTGACAATAAGATTAAGTAGATATCTAGAGTTTCAAAAAATAATCCACAGAGTGACATAATGAAGAGAAATTTGTGGGACACACATCCAGCACTCCTTTCCTCACTGCTGATTAAGTTTCATCACCTAAGACTGTTTTTTCATTTCACCATTAAAATTCTATACAGATAAAAAGCTAATTCATATGTTTCAGGATTTTTTCTTTATTAATTCCTGACCAAAAGAAACAGGTTTATTGACACTGTTGTGAGAAAAGTAAAAGAAAAGAATAGTACATTTTACCTTTTACAAATTGAATTGGATTTTGTGTACAAAACAGCAGATAGAAAGTACCTTACAAAAATATTTAATTCTTTATGCAGCTGTAAAAAACAAATTTAAGGACAAATTTGATTTAGAAATAATTGCCCCACTATAATCTTTATTATCATCATCATCAATGACTATGACCTACCAATTCTCTAAGTTGAGCAGTATTTCTTCAAGCTAGGGTTGCAGAAATCACAAAGAACAAGGCTCTCAGGATTCAAAACATTTTGAATATTGATTCTTTTTCAATTTATGTTTTTAAAATTGCAAACATGAATCCACTTCCTCATATTTCTCCAAAGTTTACCTCATAATCCAGTAAAGGTTACTAACACTTTATTGAGGTTCTGAACAAATTTGCAAGTATAACACAAATTTGCTGATTTATTGCCACTTATAAACTGCTATGTTAATCATTAAACACACCAAAAACTATTCTAAAATACAGATAAATTTAGCAATGAGGAATTGCATTTGGATCACGAGGACACAAAAATACAGATTATAAGCAGCACAAGCAGGCTGTCAACTTGCCAGTGATTTCCAGGGCCAGAGAAGGTCTGTAGCAAGTCAAGCCTATGTATTGTATCCTCTCACACTGCTGACCTGCATCTTTAATTCCAGACATTGGCACAGCCCTGAGTGGGGCTGCTCCAAGGACTCTCCAGAAACCCCAGCTCTGACCTGCCACCTTGCTCCTCCTCTCTGGACAGCAGAAACGGTGCGGCCATGGCCAGGATCCAGCTGTGCAGCTCAGCAGGCCAACAGCTGGCCTAGTGCTGCTATACCAAGCATACCTGCCCAAATGCTGCCTACTTATAATTAGCAGCACCACTTCAAAGATTACTGCTCTGTTGTAAATAGTAATTGCTAGAGAGAAAGGGATGGCTCTTAGGGAAGCAGGAGAAGCCTTTCAACTCCAGGATAAACACAAGCACAATTTCAGGCAGGCAGCATGCAGCAGGCTGAACACAGGGCATCCATGTCAAAAAGTTCTCAAGCCACTAATGCTCAGACAAAGCATCAATCACATGAAAGCAACAGTGCTTTGGTGAATCTGGTTAGTCATGGGAACAAGATGTGCCAACTTCAAGGGCATACCTACCTGTGAAGAAAGTCCTGTCTCAAATTTGATTACAAGTGTAGATGTTCATGAAACAAACTGAATAACAAAGTTCAGTGTCATCCTTGCCTCAACATTACAACATTAACTCAAAACTCAATTCATGTAGTTCTAGTAGGAAATATATTTGAAATGCCATATAGCAACATAGAAATCACAGTATGGACTCAAACTCATATGAACACAGCCAGATGGTTTTTAATAAACATTCAATACATTCACCAAATTTACACACCAGAGCTAGCAACAGTCATGATGTGATTTTAAGATCACCTCTACAGCAGGGATATAAATAAGCCCAGTACAACCCTGACTTTTCATCTGCACTGTACACTAATTTTATTTTTAATCAAATACTCACTTCTTCTTATAAATAGCACATTCTCTAGGCTAGACTGCATTTGACTCTGATCACGCAAATGTTCTGTCCAGGTGTTCTCACCTGTCTGAAACCAGATACGATAGGAATGAATAACAGCCATTCTCTCATCCCAGACACTCCATAAATTAAAGAGACACTAAAACACTGTGGAAAAGTACTTGAGTGACCCACGCTGGACATTAAACAAAATGAGGAGAGAGAGACAGAGGTCCAAAAAGACAGGCAGTACAGGACAATTTGTTTTATGAATCCTGTTCTGCTGGATCATGCTTGAACATCGCATCCTTAAGATCTGAACTATGTCAGAACTGCTCCAGAGTAGATTTTTAAAACATGAGAAGGTTTGTACATGATAAGATCACAATTACCTAAGAGGGTAACATTCCCATGACTCCCTTTTTTGTTCCAGAATCTTTTAATAGCACATAATTTTTGAGCCTGATGTGTAATTTTACAATTGAACAGCAATCAGCACAAGGTGATTGATACCTGATTGCTTATGGCCCTCAGAACACAACATAAGCACTACTTACTTTCAAAATACGTATGACAAATGGATGAAATTAACACAACAGGAAGCAAGGGAAAATTTGCAAGACAAAAGTTGAGAGCAGAGTTACAAGATGTAATTGGACAGGAAATAATATCTAGGAACAAGGACTGAAGGAATCTTGTCTGTGTGAAGATCATTATCTGTGACATATAGTAACCTATGATAGATGGACTGCCATTACATTCATTAAATGTCATCCAAGAAAAATGAGGTTTATTGCACCATAATAGAGGATTAAATGCTGCATGTCTTGGGCACTGATACTCTAAGGGTAGTTCATAATACTTAGTTTCAGTTTGTAGCCATACATTTAGATGTTCCTAAAAGAATGCCAATACTCTAAAGATGCCTTTGAAGTCCACATTTAGTATCCAATGAAGTTCAATTAGTTAATAAAAAGCTTGGATTTCTTTAATGCATATCATTAAGCTTAAGTATTCTCATCTAGGGGTGCCTTTTTTTTTTTTACCTTAGTGAACAAGAGGCAGGTGTGCATAAGGAGAAGTGGCTATTTTAAGGAAAACCAGGAAGCATTCTGCAATTCCATTATGTAAACAATCCAGGATTATTATTATTTAATCACTTTACAGATGCTTGGGGAGACTTAGGAGACAAATACAGTTTGCAAATTGAAGACCTCTATGATCATATCAAATCCACATTCTTCTTTAAAGTTTTCAAAATACAGTTAGCTAGCTAGGCTCTTAAATGCAGATTCTGCAATGATCTATGTGTTGTCATTAACAGATGTTCTTGCTTCTACAGCCATACCTGTAAGAATAAGTCTGTATATGCAGCTAAAGTTAATAATGAATCACAGGACCACAGCATATTCTTGAGTTGGAAGGGACTCAACAAGGATCATTGATTCAACTCTTAAGGGAATGGCCCACATGGGGGTGGAACCCAAAACCTTGGTGTTATGAGCACCATGCTCTAAAAAAATGAGGGTGAAGACACTGGAAAATGGAACCATAACTGCAGACTGATGGACTGTCAGTGAAGAAATACTGCTTCATTTGGACAACTTTCTTATTTGATGTAAATCACATTTTGAAGTCCCCAGAACTCTGAAACACATAGAAGACAGGCTTCTTTCCAAGACTGAGGTCCACAAAAATGAGACATTTATTACATATAGCAGTAAAACTGCTATATGTAATAACAAAACATCACATATAGCAGTAAAACAGCTATATGTAATAACAAAACATCACATATAGCAGTAAAACATAGAGCCCATTTCTGTGACCCAAGAATATCAAGAGGCATGTTCTTAAAAATGTGTATGCACATATATGTATATACACACACACACACACACACACAACTTTGAACAAACTGTTCTATGCAAGAGAAATGCTGGATTCTGCTGCATTCCTTCTCTGACTCCTTTTTTCTCCAAAATTCAGGATTAAATAAACTGTAATAATGAAACATAAGTTATACATATTATGATTAGAAGTCTATCAACAGAAAAAAGAAGAAGAAGGTTACAGTAGGCAGATCTTAGAAAATCACAGTGGGGGGCAGGGGGAAGGGGACACATACATGAAAAATAACCCCACCCTGCTCAAACCTGAAATTACCTCAGTTAGAAAGGAAGAAAACACAGGTTTGTAAGACGTACACAAATACCTGAGAATTAGTAACAGGTTCATCTTAATGCCTTTCAAAATTACTTCCAAGAACATCTTCTTTGCTGTGTGGTACTTGGCCTACAGTCAAGATTTGTAGTTTGGAATTCAGTTGTAACTAGGGTCAATGCTCAACTTCTATAGCAACTTCAATGTGCATTTGAGAACTTTCTCCAAATACCCAAAATGAACTCATGTGCTTTGTTGTGTAGCAAGATCCTGTGTGACACACAAAATGTTGTATGGATT